TAATTTAAAAGTTGTCAATATTAATAACTTTTCTGTGCTTTTTAAACCATCCAGAAAGTATTGGTTTTGTTGTGCAAAAGATTGATACGTCTTCTATTTTTTTTTTTAGGAAAAAAATTGATATGTCTTTTAATAAAACGGGTGAGTGCGTCACTATACTATTGATATATATATATAAAAGAAATATAAGTCAATAACTTTTTTTGAATATTAAGATGAAACTCGACTTCACATTTTAAATTAATAATTATTAAATTATAAGATTGTACTCATATAAGTTAATAATTTAAATAATTTAATTTAATTAATATAAATAAAACGTATAAGAGTTTGAGTTATTTAATATTAAAATAAAAGATGAAAATAAATTAATGGATCAAAAAAGTTTAAAAAAAAACTTATTTTTTTAATGTATAATTCTAAATTAAATTAAAAAAGAAAAAAAAAATTGGGTGGCATGGCATCGCTGTCACATTACGGTATATATTCTACCCAACAGAATTTTTCCACATCAGCTTGGACCCCACTCGAAACCCTGGTCAGCTCTGACAAAATCTAAATAGTACAGTTCTCATTCCCTGTATACCTTCTTCATCACTCACCCGAATCCGGATTCCCGATTCCATTCCGACGACCAAAAATGTACAAAAAAAAAAAAAAAAATTCGTGTGATTACTGCCCAAATTCCGACTTCAGATCCTTCCGATCTCGCCAATTCCCTCACTTTCGCTTACCCTGATTCTGATACTTGAGATCCAGTGATCTGCATTCCGCAGCCGGAGTGAGTAGTCGGGGAGTTTTTGTCGACTCCAATGGCCGTGGCGCTCCGGAGAACTCGCGGAGGCGGATCAGCCAGCCTCTGTCGTTTCTTCTCTTACCGGATATTAGTCTCCGCCTTGTTCTCTCTTCTCTTTCACGCCACTCTCTCCGCTCTCTTCACATCTCGCCCTCCAACCTTCCTCCACGATTCGGTAACTGTAAGCCTCTCTGTTTCAATTCCATATTCGACATTTCAATTTAGCATTTTGGTTTACTCATAGTTTTGTTGTTTAATCTGTTTATGCTCAGTCACTTCCGACTCCTTGTAATGCGTATGTGCACGGTACCTTTCTGGCTTTGAACTCCGACCCGCTTAAAACGAGATTAGGTTTGATTTACCGGCAAGCCACTGATCACCTAACGCTAGTCAATTCAATGTGTATTCAGCGTATGCAAGGAAGCTGAAGCTTGAAATCTCGAAGCAATTGAGAACGTTTGATGATTTGGCTAAGAATTTATCAGATCTGCCGACCAAAGCCAGCCACGGTTCCTTGTTTGAGTCTCAGGGGCCGTTGGATGAGGATGCATTGAGGCAGTTTGAGAAGGAAGTGAAGGATAGAGCAAAGATTGCGAGGCTGTTAATTGTGGAATCGAAAGAGAATTATGATAATCAGTTGAAAATTCAG